GTATCAACTCTTTCTGATTCTTCTCTAGCCACGGGTAGCTCATAACGTGACAGCATTTGATAAGATTCCTGAAAACACGAAAAATATTGTTAAAAAGTGCAAAAACAGTTTATGTTCAAGTGAAGTCTACGTTCTACTCGACTGTGAAACGCCGCGGATAGCAGATCAAGGAGGGAAAAAAACCAGAACGAAAAGAAGCAACGACACAAACGAAACGAAAAAAACATTTAAAACAAAACAAAAACAAAACACATGAAAAAAACCCGAAATGAAACAGCATGGTAAGTGTTCACACATCCCTGTTTTGTAGAGACAACATAAACATCACAATTACAGCACATTCACTGCGCAGTATCAACAGTAACTACAATGATTGTACTGGACGAACCTCAATTGGACCCAAACACATGTCAATTTTGATTTCTTTCTCTCTAATTTCCTTTAAAGCATTCATGGCAAGTCTAATGTCATCCAAGTCCTTGATTGGTCGACTCAATCTCTTGGTCATGTCCTCCAGGAATGCGAAAATTTCCTCCATCTCTGTACGGTATTTGATGTTACAATTACGACCAAACGATAAACACCAAGCCTTCGTCTCGGCGCATAAAGAGGCTTTAAGCTTTTCTGAAAGAGAATTGGCGAATAAAATGAGAAAAGAAGGACAAGAAAAAAAGAAAAAATATTCGAAAAGATTATACTTTAGTAGACTACATGGGGTATATTCTATGAACAGAGGAGGTAAAAACTATGGAAATCAACCAAGAAACCAGTGATTGATTGATTGATTGACTGATTGATTGATTGGTTGACTGATTGATTGATTGATTGACTGATTGGTTTGGTTGATTGATTGATTAGTTGGTTGACTGACTGAATGGTCGATTGATTGATTGATTGATTGATTGATTGATTGATTGATTTCTTAATTCATGCTCAATGATAACATTGTATTTAGGGGGTCAAGCACTAGCCACAAAAATCAACGTTAGTACCCAGACTAAGGACAAGGTTATTGATCATATTTCATTAAATACCTGTCACTAGTGCAATAGCTCCAACACTGTACGACTCAGGCTCCTGGACGATACTTTTCTCTAGTTCCTTGTAATGGAGAATCTGCGCCTCAAACTCAGACAACTTGGGGTCGCATTTCAGGAAATCTTGTATGGTCTGCTCTCGATCTCCTTTCCATATGATCTGATAATGACTGAAGATATCTAAAGCTGTTAAAACTTCTTTCTTTTGCGAGTTGATGACAGTTGTCAGCATCGAGGCGAGTTTAGCAACCTGAGGAAATGTATCGATAAGTAAGTGGAAAATAAATCATTCAATGCGCGGTCTTGGTTTAGTTTTTTATATAGTCAATCTCATTAACGTTGTTGAGTTGTAAAGACATAAGTAGACAACAGCAAAGTCATTTGCATATATTCAAATTGATCTCAGACTGTCCTATTTACTGGGGTACACCTTGATAATGATGAATAAAACATCAGCAGCTTTTTGATACGAATATTTAGTAAATATCTCATTTATCAAATCACACACTGCTACAACTGCTACAATAATTTTTGTTTATCACACACCGATACAATATTTTTTTTTTATCACACACCAATACAATAATTATTACCTCTTTGTTTTCRGACACGTTCTTGTAGTAATTTGCYTTGGGRGGCGACAACTGCATACTGACAACCGTGCTACTGTCATCRCCATGTAATTTCCCTGACCGCCTATGWGGCGCGATGTCRCTTCGACTTTCATCATCACTAAGACCAGCATTACTTGCGGAACGACTTCGACCTCCCTCCTCGTTATCAGAATCCTCCTTCTTTTCAGGTTTCATAAGCGCCTTACAAGTCTTATTCCATTGTGAAACTCCTTTSGARACTGACACGACACACTGCGCAGCTTTATTTAGTGATTGTTGTATTTCATCCAAMGCTGGCTGCATTGTGATATTAGGRATTTGTAGAGTCACRAAAGCCTTAAATAAAGGCATTACAGCGTTATTATTTTCACGACCAGATTCCGGTTGAGTTGTCACGAARTGATGSGCCGTACTTGCCGCGACGCGWCGCCGAGTTGAGTCGAGTGTGCTCCGAATGACACGAACAATAGCGTCGATGTTACGATGATTAAAGTACGATAATAACTCTTGGGCCTCTTCGGCTAAGTAGTCGCGCATTTCGCGCTTTCGCTTCGCGGCAGCCGCCTGTGGGCTGATGACCGCGCTACCGAGGCGGCTTCCTGTGGCTCGACTGCCAGGTCGACTTGAACCGGCTCTTGGCGAGCTAGGAGGTCGTTCTGGCTTGGTTTCATGCTCCTCTTCTTTCTTATCAAACACAGTCGGTGCGTCTTCTTCGCCGTCAGATAAGTGGACGTCCCGTTCTTCGTCTTCTTTGTCTTCCTCTTCTTCTTCGACGTCAAGTAACATTGAGATCAACTCGTTGGCTGCTTCTTCGACTCGAACGCTCTTGACTTCTAGAAGTTCTGCACCACGTTTGCATAGATTCTGAGACAACAATGGTAGAAAGATTAACCATTGGAAATGATATCTACAACTAGAGCAATTGGTGCGCGTAAACGGACAATTGTTGAGATGGGAAGAGTGCTTTCAAAAACAGTGCACGCGCGGGCATATTTTCGAGCAGTGTTCCTAAAGATTCTTATAATACTGCCCCAAAATATCTCCTTTTTATGCGAATAAAGACGATATTTGTTTTAAGAGCCCGTGCAAATCGATAATATTTTGGAGCTGATTGGAGCTAGTGTGTCAATAATAGAACCTACGCATAGTACTGACACCATTACATCTCGTACACTCACCACATGAAACATTCAACAAATTGCACACGGTTTTTGAGTCTTATTGACAATCTTATATTCAAGTCAAACGCAGCGATCCGCGCACGAGAATTTACAAGAATTTAAGTCTGTAAAAGACTTTTTCGCACAAACTGTGGATCTACTTGAATCAAAAGTCAAATAACAGAACTACAGACCCAATTTAAATTCACTCACCTCAGTGTTCTTCAAGAATTCCTCTATGGTCTTAGGCGTGTGCGTGGGTAACTCAGTCAATGGAATGGCACTCATTTCCTCTAAAACCGCATCAATTCTGTACGCCACGAGATCATTAGCTCGATTTATCAACAGCTCCAGCTCGCCAAGCGATTCATAAACACTGTCGATATAGGTGTCGATGTTGAGCGAGGTCCAGTTCAGCATTACTAACCCTGGATCAATCGATGCTTCTACTTTAGCGAGATGTGGCGCCATTAATGGTTTGAAGGTCTGTGGGATTTTGTTGAGAACCCGGCTGTGTTCTTCAAGAAGAAGCTGAAAGATATGGAACATTTAATCGCGCTTTTAAAAAGGTTTTTAGAGCGTAAACACTAAAAGCGCGAAAAAGTGCTTACCAAGTAGTGATAAATAGCGCAATATAGTGTAGATCAGACAATAGAAAACAAAGGAATTCGAATAATTCAGTACAAGAAATCATAATTTAATTACTAAAGTTTTTCATGGTTTTAGTAGAGTGCATTTAGTAAAAGCGTGAAACATCGATACCATTTTGTACTATTTTATGCTAATTATTTTGTTTTCTTTTGTTCATAAAGCACTATTATGAACGATTTAGTAATTAGTGTTTCACGCGTTTAGAGTGAACGCACTTAAACCGTGTAACTGAATGAAATCTAAGTAGTACTAATTTGTACTAAAAGTGGACCTGAAGCAAGACGGTATAGAATACTTCATTTGTATCAATTCAATTTAATTTGCGTACCGCATATACGATTTACTAAACACAATTAAATACAACTATTTAGTTTGTACAGTTGCACGGATTAAGTGCGATCACTTTATTGAAAGCGCTCTACTCTATTCATTTTATCAAGATTAATAATCAATATAAGTTAATACAAATAAACATAAATCAATATAAATTAATATAAGATTGCATTCAACAATCCATTCGTTCAATCATCCCTTTCAATCATTCTCTCATCCTTTCAGTGATCATCAAACGTACCAGTAGTTTATCGTTGTTCTTTTTCAGTAAGTTCTGTTTGTGCAGCAGTGTCTGAGCAGAGAATGGGATATCGAGACCCAGTCGAACCATACAATCAGTCTCTCTTATTAAAGTCATGATTTGAGGATCGAAGTTCACGAAGAGCTGCTTGTTCTCGGGGTGGCGCACGAGGAGAGAGGCCTGGAGACCAGTCTTGATTACTTCCACCTATTAGAGTACAGCAGAATCGAAAAATGAAAAAAAGTGCGAAATAAACAGTAAGAAAAAACAGTGTAGAGTGAAGTTATGCAACGCGTGAAACAAAACTTGACTATTAAAGTGTAATAGTCAAATAGACACAAAACAAAACAATGCAATTAAAGCGTACTAAGGTGTATTCGTGTAATATGTATTTCACGGGTAGCGTACTAGAGTGTATTTCACGGGTTTAACACTACTACAGTGATTGTTGTATTTCATCCAACGCTGGCTGCATTGTGATATTAGGAATTTGTAGAGTCACGAAAGCCTTAAATAAAGGCATTACAGCGTTATTATTTTCACGACCAGATTCCGGTTGAGTTGTCACGAAATGATGCGCCGTACTTGCCGCGACGCGTCGCCGAGTTGAGTCGAGTGTGCTCCGAATGACACGAACAATAGCGTCGATGTTACGATGATTAAAGTACGATAGTAACTCTTGGGCCTCCTCGGCTAAGTAGTCGCGCATTTCGCGTTTTCGTTTCGCGGCGGCCGCCTGTGGGCTGATGACCGCGCTACCGAGCCGGCTTCCTGTGGCTCGACTGCCAGGTCGACTAGAGCCGGCTCTTGGCGAGCTAGGAGGTCGTTCTGGCTTGGTTTCATGCTCCTCTTCTTTCTTATCAAACACAGTAGGTGCGTCTTCTTCGCCGTCAGATAAGTGGACGTCCCGTTCTTCGTCTTCTTTGTCTTCCTCTTCTTCTTCGACGTCAAGTAACATTGAGATCAACTCGTTGGCTGCTTCTTCGACTCGAACGCTCTTGACTTCTAGAAGTTCAGCGCCACGTTTGCATAGATTCTGAGACAACAATGGTAGAATGATTAACAATTGGAAATGATATCAATAACTAGAGCAATTGGTGTGCGTAAACGGACAATTGTTGAGATGGGAAGAGTGCTTTCAAAAACACTGCAAGCGCGCGCATATTCTCGGGCTGTGCTCCTAAAGATGCTTATAATTCTTCCCCCAAAAAACTCCATTTTATGCGAATAAAGACGATATTTCTTTTAAGAGCTGATTGGAGCTTGTGTGTCAATGATAGAACCTTCGCATTGTGCTGACACCATTACATCTCGTTTACTCACCACATGAAACATTCAACAAATTGCGCACGGTTTTGAGTCTTATTGACAATCTTATAAAATATTTAAAACTCAAGTCGACCCACGAGTGCAGCGATCCGCGTACGAGAATTTACACAAGTCTGGTAAAAGACTTTTTCGCACAAACTGTGGATCTACTTGAGTCAAAAGTCAAATAACAGAACATACTACTACAGACCCAATTTAAATTCACTCACCTCTGTGTTCTTCAAGAATTCCTCTATGGTCTTAGGCGTGTGCGTGGGTAACTCAGTCARTGGAATGGCACTCATTTCCTCYAAAACCGCATCAATTCTGTACGCCACGAGATCATTAGCTCGATTTATCAACAGCTCCAGCTCGCCAAGCGATTCATAAACACTGTCGATGTAAGTGTCGATGTTGAGCGAGGTCCAGTTCAGCATGACTAAGCCTGGATCAATCGATGCTTCTACTTTAGCGAGATGTGGAGCCATTAATGGTTTGAAAGTCTGCGGGATTTTGTTTAGAACCCGGCTGTGTTCTTCAAGAAGAAGCTGAAAGATATGGAACATTTAATCGCGCTTTTAAAAAGGTTTTTAGAGCGTAAACACTAAAAGAGCGAAAGCACTAAAAGTGCTTACCAAGTTGTGATAAATAGCGCAATATAGTGTAGATTAAACAATAGACAACAAAGGAATTCGAATAATTCAGTACAAGAAAGCATAATTTAATTACTAAAGTTTTTCATGGTTTTAGTAGAGTGCATTTAGTACAAGCGTGAAACATAAGTAATACCATTTTGTACTATTTTATGCTAATTATTTTGTTTTCTTTTGTTCATAAAGCACTATTATGAACGATTTAGTAATTAGTGTTTCACGCGTTTAGAGTGAACGCACTTAAAGCGTGTAACTGAATGAAATCTAAGTAGCACTAATTTGTACTAAAAGTGGACCTGAAGCAAGATGGTGTTGAATACTTCATTTATATCAATTCAAGTTGATTTGCGCGCCGCATATACGATTTACTAAACACAATTAAATACAACTATTTAGTTTGTACAGTTGCACGGATTAAGTGCGATCACTCTATCTCATTTTATCAAGATTAATAATCAATATAAGTTAATACAAATAAACATAAATTAATATAAATTAATATAAGATTGCATTCAACAATCCATTCGTTCAATCATCCCTTTCAATCATTCTCTCATCCTTTCAGTGATCATCAAACGTACCAGTAGTTTATCGTTGTTCTTTTTCAGTAAGTTCTGTTTGTGCAGCAGTGTCTGAGCAGAGAATGGGATATCGAGACCCAGTCGAACCATACAATCAGTCTCTCTTATTAAAGTCATGATTTGAGGATCGAAGTTCACGAAGAGCTGCTTGTTCTCGGGGTGGCGCACGAGGAGAGAGGCCTGGAGACCAGTCTTGATTACTTCCACCTATTAGAGTACAGCAGAATCGAAAAATGAAAAAAAGTGCGAAATAAACAGTAAGAAAAAACAGTGTAGAGTGAAGTTATGCAACGCGTGAAACAAAACTTGACTATTAAAGTGTAATAGTCAAATAGACACAAAACARAACAATGCAATTAAAGCGTACTAAGGTGTATTCGTGTAATATGTATTTCACGGGTAGCGTACTAGAGTGTATTTCACGGGTTTAACACTACTCCAATGAACATTCCTCACACCATTTAGTAGTAATACGTTTCGCGCATCAAGTTGGTGAACTCAAAATCCTTGCCTTATCCGCAGGCAGAGAGAGTACTAGTCTCGCCCTCTTGCTATCTATCACAGAAAGCCCGTTTTTTTAAAGAAAGAGATGCTTCTGAAAGKCAATAGATTATCACCAACCTGTTTGATCCACGCCTGATGATACAGCAGCTCAAACTCTAAAAGAACTTTAGCCATTTTGTTATAATTTTTAATAATTTTCTTCCCTTCACTTGTCTGTAGTATGGCTGGGTATCTTTGGAAAAGCTCCATTGGTTCTTGAATGCGTCGGTACATCTGTCGTGCCCARGCTATTTTGCCAGCTATTGGCGGGAGATCCCAGGCCACTGGGGGGTCGTTTTTATGTCTTTGGTATATTTTTTGAATTGTTTCGATGTCACGGCCGAAATAAGTGAGAATTCGTTCGTACTTTTCTTGTACTGTTTCTTTGAGGCATTCGAGGTTGAGCCTGAAGTAAAGTAATATAGATGGGGGGGTTATTTTTATTCATCACTATCATTAATTATTTGGACTAGCATCATCATGTTGTTACAATTATCATCTTTGAAGAAAATATTCATTCAGTTCCTGGATTCTGGATTCCAGAGTGAAAATTTTGTCGGATTCCGGATTCCGTGTCATGGGGCGAATTCATGTCCGTCCGCCAGTATAATTTCATCAAGTTCAACAGAACACTTACCGTTCAAACTTTCGAATGAGTCTCAAAGATCGCTGTGTCGAAGGTATTCGTTCAAAGGAATAGTCCATGAAGATTTGAAGCTGAGTCTAGAAAAGAAAAAAATAATTATTATAACAAAACAACGCACATATATGCACAATTCTCAATAGTGAACAAGATTGCAAAGTTAGCCAGCGTAGCAGCTCTAGGGGAGAGGGAGGGGAAATTGTTTCCCCACCACCTCCTCTACACAAACCTAGAGCCTTAGTCTACTGTAAAGTTTAAAACCTGAAGTTCGTTGATTTGTCTTCTRAACTCTTCAAAATCAGCATCAAAGTCCATCTTCCTGTAGTCCAGTAAGTCGTATGGYTTTTTCTTCATCGTTGTCATTATCAGCTGAACTTTATTCCAATTCTGCTCCAGACCCTCAATCCTCGACTCYCCAAGACACATGAAAGCTTGCATAGTGTTCAACATCTCAATAATCTTTTTTAAACGCCGCGAGAAAGTATTTATCTTTCCAAATATRTACATCTCACTGAATTCAAATTGTCTCTCGTCGGGATTTTGTTCAAGYCTTTGCTTGGTTCTCTGGAAGCATCGCTGGTATTCCTCGTTAAGTTTGATGCAGTTTTGAAGTTTTTCGATAAGTTCTGCCTGTGGGTGTTCCCATATCGTTTTCAAACCGTGCTCTGTGATGTAGTTTTTGCACGCTGTGATCATCTGGTTTGTGACCTGCGGAGTTTGACAA